TTAAATCGTGTATATAGCAGGGGATTCGCGGACCTAGCTATAGACGAGTATAAAGGGTATCGATATAAAGATCACGTCTTTATATACCTATAAACCGAATAGCGCTATTAAAAGGGCAGGATAAGCTATCGTTATAAAGTCTAACGCTATACTAAATAGCATAGGTCTTCTACGTTTTATATAGCTAGAGAGTATAAGAGCGGTAGCGTAACTTTATAATATAAGTCTATCGTAGCGCCTAGGTTAGAAGTCTCCTATCGAGGTACTAGACTTATAGTTTAAAAAGCACGCGCCGCTTAAGATAAGAGAGTATTCCGCCGACCTACGGCTAGATTAGAGTGGTATTTATACCTACGGTTACCGCGCCTATCCTTTAGATAGGAATAGGGAGGCTAGAAGGGAGAGAAAGATATATAAGATTTAACCGAGGGGCTATATTAGGTATCTTATAGGATATATTACCTATAATATTTATAGGATATAGATCCTGTAGCTTTAGAAGGTTATAACGACACGTAACGTGTAGTTTAATAAGCGGTTATTTTATAACTTAAAGCTCGAAGAAGCAGAGTAGATTACGGAGACGGAGGCGAGGAACTAGCTTATAACCTACGAAGACTACGAAGATAAGGATAACGAATTTATCCTATAAGTAGAACCGCCCGCTAGCCTATCTAGCAGCGTACCTTCTAAAGATTAAATAGAGTCTACGGGTTTAGACTTAGGGGTAAAAGTAGCTAATACTATTTTAGAAGCACCGGAACTATTAGATACCGACGTAACTACTAACGGCTAAGATAGGCTACCCGAACCGCCCGCGCTAATAGGACTCTAAACCCCACGCGCTATACCTAATCCGCCGAGCCGGAATAACCAGGACTAAGGCGCCGGGCCGTAGCTATAGTAGGAGGAACTCTTAATTAAACCCTCTTCTATATAGACTACGGCACCCGAAGGAGACGCTACTATCAACACGCTAAAGCTATATATACTAGATAATCCGGGGTAAAAAGGAGGTACGAGGAGTGCGTAGACTAAGGTACGGGAACTAGCTACTCCTAATCCAGGTCACGGTATTAACTAGCCCTTAACGTCCAGATCTCGAACTAATAACCCTAAGGTGAGTCGCATTAACGTAAGCGGAGTATATAGGTTAAGGATATAATAAGGGTTAGCGCCCGAATTATAGATTAATATGCTTAGAGGAAGACTATTCGGATTAATCCACGGACGTATATAGTAGAGCTAGATATACTCTTAACATATAGGTTCTTCCTATCTAATTAATAAAAAGTACGCGCCGATAAGGTATAAGGGCTCCTATCCTTTTACTTAGTGATATTCGGAGTAGCCGATATAAAAACGAAAGCTTATTCGAAAATAACGGAGGAACCGAAGTCCTTACTTAACGGCAGGATCTATCGTGACCACCTTAAGGCTGCACTAAGGTATTAGAGAGAGCTTTATAACCACCCTATACGCGATTAGTTTAAGGAAACGGCGTAAAAGGAGGTTAATAAGCTAATTAAGAAACGCACGTGGAAGGAAATTAATAGGGTATCGGCGAAGTCTAAGCCTCTTCCACTTAAATAGGTATTCACCTATAAGTTCGACTAAGGCGGGTATCTTAAGAGATATAAGGTAAGGCTATATCCGAGGGGATCTCCAGGAAAGCTTAACTATTTAGGGAACCAACGTAGTAACGCTCGCTACGAGGTCTTTTCGTATTATTATAGCTTTAGCCGCTTAATTTAACCTAAAGATTAAGTAACTGGATATCGTTAACGCCTTCGTTAACGCTAAGAGGAATAGAACAGGAACGCCCGTTATATACGAGCTTCTAGATAGGTTTAAGTAGCTAGATACGTGCTTAGAGCTAGATAAAGCACTCTACGGCTTACGAGATTCACCTCGATTATAGTTCTAGACCTTCGTAGTGACGTTATCGGATCTAGGGATAAAGGCTAGTAAAGAAGAGCTATGCCTGTTTTATATAGTAGCTTAAAACACGTTTATTATCTTCTTTATAGACGATATCCTCGTCTTATTTTATAAGAATAAAGCTATAAACGCCCTTAGGATTATTAACGGTATTAGGAAAAGGTTCGAAGTATTAGAAAAAGGTAACGCAGAGTAGTTCCTGGGAATTAAGATCACGCGTGATCGCTCCCGGCGTAAGGTTCTGCTTAGTCACGACTTATATATCGAGAAGATCGTAGCTAGATTTAATTTAAATACTACTAATATATACCTAGCGATACTAGTTCCTGTTATAGAGTACCGGAAAAGAGAAGACGAGGCCACGGCTTAAGAGGTTAAATTATACTAGGAAAAGATCGGATTATTACTATACATAGCAGTTATAATACGTCCTGATATAGCCTTTACGGTATCTATCCTTTCCCGCTTTCTTAGAAACCCCTCCCCGGAGTATTATAAGGTAGCAGACTAAGCTATCCATTACTTATATATAACCAGGGACCTCTTAATTTAGTACGGATCGAGTATTAATTTATAGGCTATAGTAATCGCGAGCGACGTCTCTTTTATTAATAATATCGATACACGACGATCCTCGTAAGGCTATCTTATTAGCTTATTTAGAGGTCTAGTGGTATAGAAAGTAATAAGGTAAGTAACCGTTACTACGTTTATAATCGAAGCAGAGCTACTCGCTCTAGAGTAAGTCGCGAAGGAAACGATAGGATTAAAGCGCTTATTCGCAGAGATACGCTTTAACCCCGAATCCCCTTAGAATATTAATTACGATAACACTTAAATAATCAGGCTTATAGTGGACGACGGCTATAGGATCGAAACCCGGTTTAGATATATAGATATTTAACGCTTATAGGTTTAACAGGAATATAGTAAAGGGACCTTTAGGGTGGTTTATTTAGCTACGAGCCTTATACCGGCTGACGGATTAACGAAGGCACTCCCACGATAAAAGTTCGAGATCTTCCGCGTATATCTTAATATAACGAGTGCACGGAGGGGGTAGACCGGAGAAGTCAGAGGTTAAAATCCAGCGCCGGAGGCGCGCCGCACGCCCGCGGCTTAGTTAATTTAGTAAAAATTCGTGGTATTACTATATACCGCCACCCTAACGCCTAAAGCTAATTGCTAACACCTAAAAGCTAGAAGTAAAACTAGAAAATAACGTCCGGCGAATATAAATACTATCACTGCGCTTTATTAGGAGTACCCGGAGCCGTAGGCTTACCCGTAGCCTTACCACTATCCACCGTAACCGAATCCCTATTAATAACGGCGCTATTTCCCGGCGCGATAACTTGCCCCTAAGGGGCTCCGGAAACCACTATCGGAGTAATAGTTTACTGCTACTGCTATTATTAAAGCTGATCTTTAAGACGGCGGGCTATAACTTCTTCTACTAAGCTCTTAAAACGAGCCAAAAAACTAGGCTTAGTTAAGCCCTCCTCGCTAGGAGTAGCCACGCACTTAAGATCTTTCTCCTCGAAAAACTGCTTAGTATCGTCGTCTTCGAGGTATTTAATGGCTTACTTAATATACTGCTTTAATTTTATAAAAAACTGCGCCGGAACTATTAACCGGAGCTTTACGATTAAGAAATAATACTTAAAAACACTTACCTTACGGTTGTCTTTATTAGAAGCAGGCCCGATCTTACGCACCGAGACGGTATTAACCAATATCTTAACTAAGGGGATTATACTATAATAACTAAGGACTAGTTATTAGCAGAAGCACCCCGGAATATAGATTCTTTATTTCGATTTAAACCGGAGCTCTTATCTTTTATTATAACCCTTAATAACTAAGGGGTAGGAACTTATATTTACGAGCAGGCATAGTTACTATCGTAATATTTACGATAACGATTAGAGCGACCTTTAACCAAAACACAGCTCTCGAAAGAGCTTTATTTTCCCGAATAAATGCCCTTTACATACTATATATAAGGCGGATCGAAAAGTACGGTAATAAAGTCGGGGTTAGGGGGCTTAGTCGATTTTTTGGCCGGCTTCTTAGGACCCTGCGATTTAATTAGTTAGTACCGGAGCCTTACGACCGAAAACGAAAGCACGAAACTAAGGGACCGGAGCACTTATACTGGATTTTTTAGCGGCACTCTTTTTTATAACACCGGCGGCTTTAGTTAAAGTGCCCGAGGCACTAATAACCTTAGTGCTAGAGGAACGGGTAAACGGGGCCTAAAAAGCACTATTAGCACCTATATTAAGAATTAAAGCTCCGGTAACTTACTATAGCGCTTTTACGGAAGAAAAAGAGGCTATTTTAACGCGGATCGAGAGAAAAATAACTGAAAAATTAGTCGAGGCACGGATATCCACGAAAAACGTTAAAATAGGATCGTGGTGATAAAAGGGAAAAGAAGGCTACGAAGAGCCTAAAACCCCTTTTATTTATATCCAGCACCTCCCCTATCTACTAATTACTTTAAATAGCACTTTCCTTTATTATTTACTACTATTATTATTATTCTTTCCTATTTTACAGCTTCCTTACCTGCCTTTTAACTCGACTTCAAAGGATATATAACTACTCTTTAAGGCTATTTTAAGATTAACCATAAGGCGCCGGCGAGGTTAGGCTAAGTAATTACTAAGCTAATCAGGGTATAGTAATTAGGGGGTGTATCGCACTAAAAACACGTAAGCCTGTTTTCTGTGTTTCTATTAGCTGGATTAGCCCTATATTCCTCGCGTGGAAAAGGGGTAGATGTATTTAGAACACCCATACCTTCCTGTTCTTCTTTCCTTTGTGGAAGGAATACAATCATACATCTATTGAATCTCTGCTCCGGCCGGATCACACGCCCGTCAATCCAACATGTATCCCTATCCAGGTAAAAATGGTTGCCCTACTGGTGTATTCATGGCTATCCTTTTACCATAGAGGAATTGACGATTAATACCCTTGGTCGGCGGGATACGACGTGACGACTCATGACGACTCTGGGAGTCGCTCGAACTTCAGTTTAGGCAGCATACATGATACAGTTGCTAAACTGGCGTGACGAGGACTCCTGGCCCGCGTGCGGCCTCGCCTACCATTCAGGCGGTGCTCCGGAGTGGCTTAGAGTAAGTGTAGATTCTTGATTGGCCACCAGCTTCCCGACTCTATGCCGACTACTCGTCCGTGGGACCTGGGCCGCGTAGTCCAGGAACCACACAGGCAGCCTATGGAGCGGCTACGTGGTCGATGAATGGCGGACAGAAGCATGGCAGCCCAAAATATTTCGGGGTCGAGGCATCGGACACGAGAAAGAAACACGTCGAATATCAATCTTCGAACGATGACCGGCCTAACGAAGCCGTCACATATTGCTTACTCGCATGGACTACGCTCCTCCTACCCTAACGTTCTTCGACGGCTTTTTCCATGACATGATACCCGGTCTCATCATACGTGTCGCTGCCGATGTACGTTGTCCATCACCTTCCTGATCTTGACAACGACAGGCAGGTCGCGGGAATGATAGACATGTTCTTGATCAGAGTGCTGTAATTACCGCTCGACCCGACAGTCTCTGTCCTTTCCTCTCATCCGAGAAAGATGCCGTGACACGTAAACACTGGGCTCTAACCGAATCAAGACGTACACGTTGCGAGAATAAATGATTACATTTGTGACCACATCCTGCACGAACATTGTAGAAGGATGGTAGCAAGTTCACCTCAGAGTCTGTCGCATGTAATTAGATGCGTTGACGAGTATCTTCTGTCTTTTGTCACTGGGATTTTCTACGTGTAAAGATGTCTCCAGGCTTTTATGCTTCTTCCCGCTAGATCTAGAGACATAGGAAAGCGTCTCCATTTCTCGAGGTATCACGGCAGATTAGGGCTAGGACCATGGCGAAGACCTATTCGGAGGGATTGGGGAGGATAGTTAGGTGTCCTAAGTTCTGGCTTCCAATTGACACAAGAGATACTTCTGTCTCATATCATCCTACTCGGTCAGGATAGGCCCTTGAGAAGGTACTCCCTAAGCGGCATCGAAAGCTGCATGTGAACAACGTTCCAGCCGCAGTGTGCTCTTCTCGTACTGTTATGCAAGGAACGGTACGAATCTTCCCAGGAGCAGCAACCTCACCGGGGATATAAGGCTGAAGCATTGCATGAAGTTTCAATATAAAAGTATGGGCCCTGGATGAAGCATCATAATTAGCTACACTCCCCTCCTGGACGATGGATCATCACCTGCTGGCTCTCTGGAGGCAGAGCCCCGTACCAACTGCCGAAGAGACTCTGGAGAATATAGAAAGACACTCGGGATAATACGGCGGGAGGGTTTATGTGGTTTCCATTACGGAAGACACTGCAAGCACAAGCGTCTCGGCCTCGGTGAGGATTACCTCAGTGTTTTCTCAGCCGCACAGCTCGCTGTCTCCTTCCCAGCCGGGGAGTAAATCCACTGGCCCTCGCGGACGCGGCCAACTGCGCTGTCATCTTCTCTTCACCGGCACCCATGCGGCATGCCCGGGCGCTCAGATACGGTTGGTGAGTGGGGGTTGCGGGACCTGTCACCTGTGGTTCTTCGATTCGAACCCCAGAAACCATTCAGCCCTTGTCACGATCTTCCATCGAGGGAAGGCGTTCTAGCCCTAGCCTTGGCCATGTGAGAACTGGTCTGGTCGAATTCTTTTATAAAATGACTTTCCGACCTCGAACAAACGAGTATCCCCATATTCTGCACTCTAGCTACGATTAGTTCCGCTCTTTGGCACTTCTGAGGACAGATACTGTTCGTCGTTGATGTTAAGCGGTGAGGTTCGTTTGAGTTCAAGAAGTGAAATTCGCCATATAGCTCGGTATGGAAGCATAAAATATACTGACAGAATAGAATAACCTTCGCCCAATTACGGTATCTTGTGGCCTTATTCCCACTTCTCTCTGACCTTGTCCTCGGGGCGTCTTCCTAGTCCCTATCTTCTGGGCTCATCACCGCAGTCCTCGACTAAGCTCTACTTTTCTCATGTCTACTACTTTCTTCGAGATATATACGTTAAACCATATTACACCCTTCTCGTCTCTGGATTCATGCTTCACGCCCTGCCGTGGTATGGTATTCATGCACGCTCCACCACCACCGAGCGCTCCGCACTTCCTGGGTCCTGGGCTTTCTCCCGAGACGTGTCTCTGCCCGGCATACCTCCGGACCCGCAAGTATGGGCCGCTCCTCTCCGCGGCGCTTAACTTTCCGCTGTGCCGTGGTCGTATCATCATAGCATGTATGACCCGGAGGCCCCCAAGGGCCAAACCCCAGCATCATGGCTCGGAAGCCGGAACGTGCGGGCAAACTGATCGTCTCACTGTCACCGTGGTATTAGACATGAGAGGAGAGAGAAACGGCTCGGAGTGTACATATCCTAATAGATAGTGCCATTCACGGGCCTGTCATGCGTCAGGCCCCTCCTTCGCTGGGCTCAACACCACGGTAACTCCGAGACAAATAAGTGGCACTCACATGCAGGGCAAGCGAGCCAGGACGTCGGGTCGGAGACAACAGCGGACAAATGAATGATTGTGTAAGCACCGCGGCAGGAAATAATGGCGTTTATCTTTCCCCGGCTTTCCTGTATTCTCTTTGCAGTCTATAGGACCTGAGTTGCGGGCTTGTTGGATGTCAGGTGCCTGCAGCAGTGGTCACAATGGGTCCCAAGTGTGAACCCATCGGGGTCCAGCCGCCCTCGGTCTAAGACCCCTCGAGGTACAAACAAAGCAGTCATCACATAGTAAACAGAATAGCCCCTCGAAGCAAACAAAGCAGCCCTCGACTAAGCAAATAAAGCAGTCCTCGAGGAGCAGCAGAGCGTAGTCTTAAGGAGCGAAGGAGCCTCCCTTCTAAAGAGGGAGGCCAGCGATTAATCTGATTCTTTGGCTGCACCCACGTTCTGATCCCACTGTGATCCCATCGTGATCCTACCTGGTTCCTTACCTGACCCTACCTTCTCACTCTTTGCGACTACCCATTTGACATTGGAATAGCATAAAAGATGCACGACACAAACCAGGATAGAGGTGTTTATGGGGTTTACGTAGGAGACAGGACTAAGCCAGACCTGAAACTCAGACGTTTCAGCTATGATTTCCATGTTTATCTTATGTTATGCCATCTGAATCTCGTTGCTTTAGCTGGACCACATGCTACCGTGCTGTGCTTGGGTCAAGAGATCTGATTCAATAATAAATGTTTAATACTAGAGCCAGTTATGCGAGAATGCTCATACTCTAGATACAGAGACTCTCTAGTATCACTTCATGCACAAGGAGTGTCTGCGGAGGCTGGGAGGCTTGTAAGATAACATTCTGTTATAAGACGGAACAACTCTACGATCTCCCAACTTCGCGACTTCAAAGTTCAAGTACATAATATATATATATATATGGCTGGTATTGATTTAAACTGAATTGTTTATTTGCTCTTATGGAGTATGAGGTTTGACTAGATCTATTCCTACCTACCGGTTG